GACACGGAAATATAAATTGTGAACTGCTTCATTTAATTTCTTCTCGGAGTACTTGATACGCGCGTTACGATAAGAATAAGCCCGTCTTTTGTTTTGAAATGCTACGTTACTTTCAATAATAAATATGTATTTATTTACAGAAACGAAGGACCTAGGAGGCGAAGACGTCAGACGTCTGTATTGCCCGTTCAACGGGCGCTTCAGCTTCGTCTACAACGCGAACGACGGTTCGGAGAGCAGGACAGAATGTCCGGACCCCGTGTCCGAGCTGGACAATTGCCCGTCTGGCTCCGCGCTCAATCTTCGCTTCCGTCGCTGTTCGTTTAAAAACCGCGGTAAGTGAACGTGTCAGCTGGGGGTACCAATACAGCAAAACGTAAAATAAAACTTACATCTGGTGTAATTTTACACGAAACAAATGTTACTGCGAAGAATTCTGAAGTCATTCAGACAACAAGCGAATGCCTAAATGTGTTTTCTGTGCCTTCAGTCGCCATAAAGATATTTCACATTTAATTTACTTTATATAATGCAGGAACCGCCACGGTGGTCTAGCGGTTAGAACGCTGGCCTCGGGTTCGATTCCCGGCGGTGCCCGAATTTATAACTTGTGTTGGGCAAGGCCGTGGTCTAGGCCACACGGAGTTTTCCTCCGGGGGCTTCCCCGGTTTCTCCATTCACACACAGAAGAAGGCAATGGCAAACCACTTCTGGATCATCTGCCAAGAACGTATATGAACAGGTCCCAGTCCGAGAAAAGGATGGAAGGATCCTGTTCGTATGGACCTGTCGTCAGACAGAACACTTAAAAAAAATGCAGCGGTAGCCATGGTAACGGGAACAGGTTAATTAATTGTGTTACTGAAAGTGAAATGTTTGTGCAGACGTGACGTTCCAGTGCCTGGGGCATTGGGAAGGCCCTGGGGACCAGCGTTTCCTCGCTTTGCGGGACACACGGCCGGGGACGAACCATTTCCCGCTCTATAGATGCGCCGTAAGTGCCTTCTTTTGTCAACTTCTAGGTTTAGTTCTGGTAGTAATAGAATAAGACCTGACGAAGGCTCGTTTGTGTTTCCTTGAAATACATTCAGCTTTATGTCGTCTCATAGGACGAGTTTTTCACAATATTTATTTCAGACGCTGTGATGTTCTGTCGTCATACATTTTTTTGTCAGTTGTCGTCATCAAAGGAAAGATAATTCGCGTGAGTGCTATAACCGCCTTTCTAGGTTTCTTATTGAGTGTCAAAGTCTAGCATGCTGCGTACCTTTGGAGAAGTTAGTACTTACTCCTAAGCCCCAGAAACCTAACCTAATATTGCGATAGTAAACAATTTTAGCTTTCATGTTTCTGAAACAGAAGAAGTTAGGTATAACCTAGCATGTTACACATGAAATGAACAGAATGAAAGTTTGAGAAAGTAATGATATTAAGTTTACGTAGTGGTTATGAAGTTACTATTATCATAAACTCGCCAGTGATCATTGTTTCAGAGACGGAAATTGAAATATGTTTTCCCCCCCAATCAGTCACGTGATTGAGAGTAGTCTGCAGAATCTACTTGGGTATGAACATTCATGGTTCAGCGGGTGATTTCTTGTAGTTGTCGCCACCAAACCGGAAGCTAAATACAGATTTTATGGATTCGCCATTTTGTTGTTTTGGAATATAAAAGGAAAGAGATAATGCCTTACAACAGAGACCTGTTTACCATACATCATTTCAGGACCTATATAAGGTGACGATAGAATCGGTTCCACTGCTGTTGGTGTTACAGGTCGCATGGAATTAGGAAATATAGACATTTGACAAATATACGACTTTTTAAAACGTAGAATATGTTGGCTACGTCAGACAATAAAGAAGTTTGACTCGACCAGGATTCTGTTCCATGACCACCTCCGCACCGAGTCCAGTACGCCACTACCACTGAGCTTACTTGCGCAATGTTATATTGTCATGGATTTACGTTACTTTAACAGACAATAAACACGCGATTTGTAAAGCTAGAAATTGAAGTTATTTAAGTAGTAAGATAAAATACTTTTTTTTACGAATATTATTTCTTTAAATGAACAGGCTAAGTGACACAGCACACGTCGTAGGCTTTAAATTGTATTTATGGATTAGTTTGTTATAGTCTGTATATAGAAAGGAAGTCAGTGCCCTCTATTAGAAACCATGCTGTTCTCTCAACAATCAGTTTCCGGTAAACAAATGAATCAGTATGGAGGGGGAAAAAAGTTTAAAACGTATTATCATGCATTTCATTGATAATAATAGTGATAATTGTTGAAAGTACGTAGATGGGATTGCATTTCTCTTGAGAAGATAAACAGGTAAGAGTTAATGAATAAATAACATGTTGAAATGGCACACAAAAGTTTTTGCGTCGTCTGCGATCTGTTGCTACGCTTGAACTGATAGTTACCATTGGGCTTTAAAGGGTTAATTTCACAGAATGACTGACTGGATTGCAACCTCGGGCAGCGTGCCTTGAGTGTTTCCCTTTAGTAACAATATCTGAATGTTAGACGCATGCCGGACACCCGCTATCCCAGCTTTGATATGCAAGCCTCTGAACCCGTTGTTACGGTCGCTAGCCCGGAAACGGTCACAGAACAGCGAATCCTGAATACACACCTGAACTCCCCACCAAAACGGGATGTGACGTCACAGAAATACAAGAAGATAAACTCAAACAACCTTGGATTATATACTCTTGTAAAATACACCCGTTTCTACATAGTGATTTGCATAAAGACCTTCGGAAATAAGTTATAGGGACCTGCATAAGTGAAGTGATGCATTAGATCCTGATCAGATAATCTCATTTCGTCAGATACTGGAGAACAGTTACATTAGTTATAGATTTGAAGAAACCAAAAGAGAAAATTATTTTACAACATTGCCCTAAGATTTCGTATTTCAACGAAATTACTTACGACAAAATATGTTAGTGTAGTTAAGTCCGTAATAGCTTAACATTCTGTATAAGTTTTGAGGTTTTCACAGCGGTGAGTCTAAAGGTTGCGCCATGTAGTCTGGTAGATGTCGGTGGACATTTACCAGACTACACGGCGCAACAACCCAGAATACAGCAATCTTCAGCTTAACATTCTTTCTAATAAAATTTCTAAGGGAACTACTGATAGATCAAACGCCAGTGGAAGATTGGACCAAATGGAAAGGGTAGTCAGTGATAATGCACTCAAAAGAGGAAGAACAATGGAGAAAGGACCCTGGAAATAGGAATTGTGAGAAAAGGACGAAGTGGGAACGAAAGCCCCTGAAAATGGCAGCTGTCAATGGCAGGGCGTTACAAGAACTATGTGCATAGACAGGCCAAGGGGAAATGGGCATTTTGCTTGGATGGAGAACGACCAGATCATCAGTGAAGTAATTGTTAAATGTTTCTCCGCCAAACTTTTGTTGCAGTGACTACAGATATCTGAAATGTTTATTGTGGTGACGACATCGGATTAGGCTATTTAATGTTGATGAGGAAAACGGAAGAGGGTGAACACCATCTTCCAGCTGCTACTACTGATGGTTTTGAATGCTTGAAATCACAGTAATTTGTTAACTTGTTCCTTTTTTATGCTTGAATATTAAACTGCACTGACACATCAGTCACATGGTAACATCTCCGATCCTCATTTTCAGAATGCCCTGATTTCAAATCTCGGGCTGGAGACTGGCTGTCCTGACTGAGGTTTTCTATGGTTTTACTCAGTTTCTCATACACAGACACCTGGATAGTACCTTAAACAAGATCATGACCACTTCCTTCTATATCCCTTCGTTTTGTTAACCCTGTGGTCTCATGCTATGTAGTCTGAGCTACTGATAGCATTAAATAAGCCTTAAATGAAGTCTCAGTGTTCGTTCCTTTTTTATGCTTGAATATTAAACTGCACTGACACATCAGTCACATGGTAACATCTCCGATCCTCATTTTCAGAATTCCCTGATTTCAAATCTTGGGCTGAAGACTGGCTGTCCTGACTGAGGTTTTCTATGGTTTTACTCAGTTTCTCATACACAGACACCTGGATAGTACCTTAAACAAGATCATGACCACTTCCTTCTATATCCCTTCGTTTTGTTAACCCTGTGGTCTCATGCTATGTAGTCTGAGCTACTGATAGCATTAAATAAGCCTTAAATGAAGTCTTATTTCAATAGTATGAAACTTACGGAAACGTGGTTTACCATTTCTTCGTATTAGAAGAGAAAATCACTGCCGACAATTTATCATCTGTTAAGGCAAGTGGATTAAATAAATTAAGAAAAAGTGAGGACCATTAAAATGAACATGACAAAGCACAGAAATAAAATAAATACCAGTGAATGTTATAAGACATGTTGAGTCTTCAGCAGCTCGTTAATAACATTTGAATAACATCAATTGCATTTTGTGTCTGGTGATTTTTCAGTTATACAGAGAAGAGTCGGGGACTGGTAATGTTTTTATGGCCTTATCCAGTGATTCAACATGCACTTCAAATCTCAGAAGTGCTACAGCGGGGTATGAGACCCTTAGTCTGAGTGTAATGCCTGCGCAGCGCTGGCCCCCAGAGGTGGATGGCAGCAACTGCAGGTAAATCCTGAAACAGTTCCTTCAAATTGGACTGATTCAGTCTATGAGATACAAGGATTTCATGGCAGTGAAAATGCGACACCACTTCATCTTGTTGGCAGTCGGTGCTGGTAATTACGTACAATTCTACACAGTGTTAGAACCCAGAAGATGCTCTTTAGTCATTGCCAATATTTCAGGGGAATGTTGATGACACAGAGGTCTGCAGCCAACATTGAAAGATTTCATATTTGTAATCTCCTTATGTTCTCATAAATTAATTTTTTGCCTCTCTGCCGCTTATAAATTTATTCTTCTTCTTCTTCTTCTATGGCTCTCTGGTCCGCGTTTGGTCCATGGCCTCCTCAATTCTCCTCTTCCATTCAGTCCTCTGTTAGGTCTGTCTGTCCGAGGCTTTGATCGAGGTTTCGAAACATCTTCCTTTTTACGGTGCAAGGTTGTTAGCCTTGCGACCAACCCCCAACCTGGAGGACCAGGGTACCTGTCTTAGTCTGACCTTTCCCCCTCGACCAATCTGGCTAGGGAGGCAGTATTAAAAGGGTATAATTAAGACTTTGAAAACATTTTTGAGAAAGAGTACATATGAAAGGACAGAAATGTGGGGAAAATAAGAATATTCATCAAGTTTGTCTTCGCAGGTTTCCCCAGTGGGCACATGGCTACTGGCAGCATATATATATCGAAGGCAACACACTCACATACAAAGACCACGTGTCTTTCAAGACCTTTACGATCCGATGCGTCGGATCTGACGTGGGTATTAATGAGCGTTTCCCTGTCTTCGCACGTACGCAGTGGTAAGTTATAATAAGTATAATTTATTGATATGTAATGCACGAAGTCTGAAACTTCGGAATATCAGGAATCTCATTGTAGATAAGCTACATCAAAAATCATAGCTAGAGAATTAGCAAAGTTTAATAAGCATTGAGTTGGCATTTAAAGAGGGTTGTACTGAACAAGCAGATGATTATAGAAGTTTATCGAAGAGGGAGAGCTAATATTTTCTACTTAGTGACGGGCTTTTCAAACATAAGGATCAAGAGTTTGTATATAATCAGCTTCCTATGTGCCATAAGATATGCCTGAAACGTGCGTGTGAATGGATACACACGCACACTGTAGTAATATTCTTATGAATGAATGATATTTGTGAGTTCTACTAAGAAACTGTGCATGCAAATAATAATCTGTGTTGTCACAAACTTCCCCGTTTTTTTGTCATTTTAGTGGAGAAGAAATGTATACATGTATCTGGTTGAAGAGACGTGGCGTTAATGTTTTGGAATTTCAGTTGGGTAAGTTTTCATATCTCGTGAATGTTATCAGACCCGCTAAATAAATTTTGCCAAATTAAAAATAAGTTGACACTATATAAGTGGTTGAAAAAGAACTTTTCAGGAGCAGAGAGAAAAATAATTTTATTATTTGCTGTTGTATATTTTTAAGTCGGCCAGAAGCGTGTGGAAGATGTTTCTTGCGTTAGAATATAAGATGATTTCCTTTTTAATCTTGTTTTCTCACACATACAGTGCAACACTTCTCCCAGGGACAGTAGAATTATGGTGTCATGATGTTATTCATATCCTGTAGTTTCTGCAGTTGCCCTAAATAAGTACTATGACATCTGCTGTTCAATAACCAAACTTTTATCTTTCATCTAGTAAAATTTCACATTTGCTATAGCAGCTCAAATATTCTGCAGTTACAGTGGCATGGCTGTGGGTTAAAACAATGAATATTTCTATGAAACATAAGCAGTGTCTAAAATTTAGGGTAATTTTTGTTCCTTGAACTTTCATTTCTGACAAATTTTATTGTAATTTTAAGCTGTGGTGATGTAATAGAAATAAATAATAACAAATATCTGAAAATTAATGCATTTTCTTTGAAAGTAAATTATTAATACATTGCAGTTGCTGATGAGATATGTTTACAATCTGTTTCAGGTTTGCAGTCTAGTACTTATTACAATGTCACTGTATGTTCTGACTCAAATTTTGAGCCCAAGATATGGATTACACAAGGCAGTAAGTATGATAATCCTACTTTCTCTGTTAAAAACCACTAATTCAGCTTATTACAATAATAGTGTCTGTAGACATGCCAGAAACATATGCAACTGAACCATTTTAATGAAACATCCAGGGTCACAGGACAATACAGTATGATCCATTTACATAACCTGAATACATATGGCTCCATGTAGGAAGGTACAAAACTTTGGTTCCCTTTACTGTATATTATTGACCGAAACATTGGTTAGAAATGAAATGACAGCTCTGATCACACTTGAAATGACAGTCAAAATAAGGGGCTGCAGATAAAAAGGAAAGGAGGTGGATTCTTTAATCAAGGATGGAATTGTTTTGTATGCGTTAGGGAAGAACACTAAGTTGTGTTAAAGAGGAGTTTATAAAACAAATGTGGAATATAACAAAGGTACAGAAATGGTCAATAAAGGTTAATGGTGGATAATTGGAAGTTATTTATTGTTTTATTCTGTCATGAAAGTGGACCCTGTGATTATAGAAGAATAAATAGAGCAGTTTGGCAGATGACTTCAATATCTGTCACATATGCTTTGGAAGAGTTTTTTATCTGGTCCTGACCCACTACTGGTCCAGTAGCTGAATTGTCTAATACTGTTTTTCTATGAAATTTGGGGAAGTGGACATAAATCTGTTTACATCAAGTATGATTTAAGTATGTGTTCATACAGTGAGACTTTTGTGTTTACATCATTTCAAATGGTACTCACTATCACATTTCAAGACACGAGTTATTGGTGAATTTATTTATTTATGGTTTATTTAATGACATTTGCAGTATCTGGACTATATAGTGTCACTCTTCCTGCAATTATCCACTCACCAGTCAGCGTACATTAAAAAAAGTAATTCAGTGTTGTGATTAAACTGATAGCTTGAATGGTTAAATTAGGATCAAATTAATTTCATTTCTGTATTAAAGTTGCATTCATTAAAAGTTAAAAAAAAACATGTTCTTAATGTAATAAATTGTATTTTAACAGGGTTAGAGCAGTTACAGGAATCCCCTTGTCCCGTGGTGGGAGAGTATACAGGTGTTATCCCAGATGCAACCAATCTTTGTGCAAAGCTGTCATCTGACTGCAAATCACCAGAAATAATGTATTACACAGTGTCAGATTGCTCCCAATCAGAAATATATGAAGGTAAGGTTCTGTTTCTCTATTCATATGCATGTAATCCCTGGTGATTTTTATTACTGACACGACCATTTAAATCACATTTGTTATAATGGAGATGAATATCACATTCCTGAGTAAGTAAAACCATTTTGAAAAATTACTAGCATTCAGTGCAGTGGTAATTCTTTTGTTGCTTCATTTTCATCTTGAAGAAGCATTTCATAACTATTTTCATGAGTCACCTTTAATTCAACTTGTAGGCGCTCGAAGACGAGGAAGGAAGCGCCGTCAAACTGGCACCAGGATCTACCGCATCAGTAATCCTCATACATCCACCACTCCTTTGCCTACATTTTCTCGCTTACCTTCCAGTCAGTCTAACAATGAAACAAATTTAAAAAATGGTTTGACCAGCCCAATTCTCATTACAGTAAATATAATGGGGCTCCTAATGACCAACGAAGTCCTGGAACTCAACATTACACTGATTCTGGACATGAAAGATTAGATTCACACAAAAGTAGTCCTAGCCCTCGATATCCCACTTCATATCAGATTGGCAGTAGTTCAACCACTTTGAGTCCATTAGATTCACAAGACAAGCTACTGGAGGAAGAATATGATCCATGGAGTTTTTCAAAAACTCATGGGCATCAAGTAGACAATCGTACAGTTAAAAAACATTATGCACAAGAATATGACTTCCACCAGTCAGGAAACAACAGAAATCCTGCTTTGGAGTCAGAAACCTACTACAGAACAAGTATGGGTTTTCAGTCAGAATCAGGTAGAAAGCAAGAGGACCAGACCTATGAGCCAACCCCTCAATGGAATAGACACACTACCTCAGTGGAACAGAATCCAGCAATGTCTAGAAATGAAAATCCACAAGGGAACCAGAGAACATCTAGCATCTTTCCTGGACCATACGGGGATTACAGTTTCGCTTATCATAAAAATTCACAAGATGATCAAAGGACAGTTGGTGGTTACTATGGACAACATATAAACCAGGCCATTGGTTATGGTAACAGTTCATATGTGACCCAAAGAATAGGAGGCAGTCATCGTGAATCTGACAGTGACTGGGGCTCTCGTTATAATGAAAATTTACCGGTTACCCAAAGCACAATCGGTAACCATCCAGTTACATCTGGGAACTGGGGATTTTCTTACAGTGATAATTCAAAGGTCAGCCAAAGCACAATGGCAAGTTTTTCTAGATCAGATAAGGATCAGGGCTTCTCCCACAATGAGCACAGATCACCAGGTAGATATCCAGAGTCGAGTAGAGACCAGGGATTCTCTTATACTGAATACAGATCTCCTTATGGCTCTACAGGATCAAATAGAGCTCAGAGCATTACTCACAATGAAAATTTACAAATAACAGAAAGAAATGGTGGATCTTACAAAGATCATTCAGTTCCACAAATCTTGTCAAATTCCAAGGAACCAAAACCATATTTAACTCATGGAACATCAACTGAAAGTTATGTGAAACATGGTGCCACTCCTAATATTCATGGCAACTATGGAGATATTCAAAATGCAGGAAAACATATATCTAATTCAAGAGACCACAACCATGGCACAGTTTTCTTAAATCCAGGACTCAATCAGAAAACATTTTCAAGCGGGGTCACAGAGGTGAGGGGTCAGGAGAGCAGTGTTAATGGGAGGTTCCATGGACAAAACCAAGCCATTCCTCATGACAGGACTGTCCTGTCACAGGCTCAATGGGACACAAATGTTAACGATCCACGTTTCAAGGAAACTGTGAGTCAACGACGTGAATGGGGAGGACCTCGCTCTATTCCACAATCTGACCCTGTTCAGTTCCTGCCTATGCCAGTCCAGAGACCCAGATACGGGGACAGACCAAGTGCTGTTCCAAGAACAGCCACCCCCTTCAAACGAGAAGGTAGCCCTTTACCTGATGATCACTGTGTTGCTTGTTTCAGGACCTCTTGCAGCACTACGCACCATGATGCTTTGTGTTTACACGTATATCTTTTTTCTTTATGGCAGATTGCATTTTGATCAAATTAGCCTCATTGGACACATATGAATGAACATGTTTAATAGAGTTTGCTTGTTCCTGCAGCTTCTTTTACTGTAGAAATTATCAAGTCACATTCTGTTACTTTTAATGTTAAATATATCAGTGTTATTTCTTTAGGTCTGGATTCACTTCTGAATTCAGCGTCTTTGCACTGCTATCTACAGACTCACTGTGTGTCACTTGCAACATAGAAATGAATAGAGTTACATTTAGAAACACGGTAACATTTTTATTTATCTTGAAACGCTTGTGCTCTCCTTCAAAAGTGAGTGTGATATGGATGCGATAATACCCAAGTAAATTACCATATGTACAAAATCTCTATAAAAAGAAGTTTAGTCAAACCCTCACAATATTCCTATATGCTTTAAAGTCAAAAAATTATTTCCAGAAAGGTTTTCACTGAATATTTGAAGACATGCAGTGAATCTCATCTACCACAACAGCATTAACCTAAATGACAAAGTAGTTCTTAATTCAGATTTTATTAAATAACACTTATTGCAGTAAAACTGTAAGTGGCTTACCAAGGCGATTACTTCACAAAGTTACACTGTTTAAAGATGGTTTAATTTCATGGTTTGCAATCAAGGATCCTTCACATACTGTTACTGAAATTTAAGATTGCCATTAAGTGGCAGTTGGCCCACTGATATGTTGGTGATAATTACTGAGAGCACCATAATTCAAAAGTAAATTATGAAGACTGGAACGTTATGTGTGCCACTTGTGCCCAGCAGGTTATCTTTGTGTCTCCTCAAATGTAGAAGCTGTCTGCCTAATTTCTTAGGACCTCGTACTCATGGCCGTTTGAAATGCTCGGATTCTGGAATAAAAGTTCACTGGTACTAAAAGTCAGACTCAATTTCCAGTCCCACCTAATGTTGTGCTTAACTTGTCCGTTTTCACTGTCATCTGTATCACTGATGCTAAGTAACTGTTGGGACAGGGTGGGCTGTGTACTTGTGAAGTTTGTGCTGAACTGTTTAGGAAATTAAAGAACTTCACAATAGTGTGACCTGCATCATTTCATTATGTATCTGTTAATTCCCTCCTACTGATCCTTGCACATAGGATCTCAGCTACTTGTTACTTGTAATGTGTTTTATCACTCCTGCTTCATATTTAGGAGGTCTGAAAACAACTACCATTTTGTGGTTTTAATCTGTTTCTGTGGGTAAATGCAGGGCAATGTCTTAAAATGAGCTGTGCCAATTTACAAACTATACCATCATCATTGACCTCATTGCAAAGATGAGAGGCTCTAAATTCTGGCAGAGTGGCCTTATTTAGTATTAGTGATCTTGTCAGTGAATCGTGAACAGGAGATTCTCATGAACTGAGTGTGAAGTAAAATGGAATCAAATGTTGGGAGCTACTGGTCCCTTCTGAAACCAGAATTACTTTGGTGATGGTGCATGTTGACTGCGGTGCATGATGAAATAGCATGCTGTATGGCACAACTTGATGCCATAACTGTTCAGTGACATGAAGTATTGCTCTTTGTGTAGAACACTGCACCTTCATTTTGTTTATATGTGTAGCTTAACCTCACCCATATGTTTGGTTCAGTGTAAAAGTTGCCAGTCATTAGCTGTGAAATACCTATATGCCAAGCAGAATATCATGGATTTGATTCCAAAATAAAGTAAAAATGTTTTTCTTAAGTAAAATTATTCTTGCATTAGAAACTATCACCTACCAAATTGCCTTCCCTTCACTTACTACATAAATGTGAATGCATTGTTTGTGCAGCTCACACATGATCAGCTGACCATAATACCAACATACTGTTAATCAATTTAAGACCTGCTGGCAGCCCCATAGTATAGGGGTTTAAATCTCCTATTCCTGTATGATTAAGGTTAACTAGCTGAAGAGACATGAACTTTTCCATTCATAAGAATAATTTAAAGTCAAGCTGTCACACTACACACCATGTTGGTGCTTGGTGAGGGTGGGGGGGAATATAGATTGTAAGAACTGGCTGTGCTTTATACCTGGGGAAAGGGCCTCCAGTAACCATTAGACAGGAGGCTGGGTGGATTTCAGAGCTGGTCTGGACAGAGAGGTGACCGAACCCAGGCCATCCAGTCTGTAGTCAGATACCATACTGACTGTCTCCTAAAAAAATAGTTCAAACTTTTATCACACTGTCATCGGGGATTTGAACCCCCATACAATGGGGCTGCCACCCAGACATTAACTCTGGGATCAACAGTATAGTGGTATGCTAGGTGTAATGCATGGCAAGATGTACCTTGTGTGAGATGTGATATGCAGAAAAGAGGTTGATAAAATGTTTTCATGTTAATGTGGGCTTTACAAGTGTCCCTTGGTAGTGATGTTAATTAAGCAGAGAGCAGAATAGGGCCCATTTATGGGACTGTTTCACGATATCTAATTCGCATTGCTTCCACTTAAATACTTATTACAATTGGAAATTAATTTGTGGATTAAATATGCTGGCTTAGTTAATCCATCAAACACTGCTCCTGCATTGCATATGAATACCAACTGAGACTAAGCTTTTTATGGTTTTCCACAGTCCATTGAAGCTGAATCAGAATAATTCCTTAATATGTTTCAATCAATTCATCTCTTAGGCCACATTATCCACATCCATTCAACAATGCATGACTCTAGAAGGTGAATTTTAGTTAGTTACAACCAACCATAATTTTGTGATGAAGTCATTAAGTTCTGCATTCTCAACATATTCATCTGTTCTACACTTAACTGAGAAGTGGCAGGCTATGTATGAATAATAAGCAAGGATGTGCATGTTGAGATTGTCTTGGACTGGAGACCTCTAAACATGAAGCAGATGTGTTAATCATTAATATTGCAATCTTGGGGACAAACTAGAAAACAGTAAACATAAAAGAAGATCCTGAATGCCACAAAGACTAGCACAGTTGTGTGAATGAAAATTATCATGTTGTGTTTGAACCTTCATATAATTTTCCCTTCATGTTTTAAGTTACATTAAAATCTGTACCATTACGGCTTTCAAGGACTAACAATATTTTATCTATAAAGTGCCATTTGTCCTGGTAATCAATGTGTCCATCTATAATGATAATTTATTCCTAACCTAACAACAAATTTTAAACATGACTTAACAACATTAACTCAGTTTGTTATTTCAATATAATTTTGTGCATGTCTACGTGAAATGCAGCACTGTAGTTACTGATTTGTCATTTAATGTAAGAGTTCAGGTAATTCAAGAATAACTGATTCATAGAATTAACTAAATGATTCAACTTAAGTTAAAGTTTAACACAACAGAAATTTTATTCATATGCTGTGAGGTTCTGCTGAAATGTGGAACTCCATGCAATAAGGATTCATTTTAAACCTAAAAATTTAGGACTTTATTATGTCTTCCTGTGACATGGACTGTGTGGTAGCATCACTTCTCATGTTTTAATATAAAAAGTTGGTACTGCATGTTCCTGTGTGGTAACATTTCAAGAATATTTGATATTGATGTTGTAGAACGAGAGTATCGGTGTCTTGGGCAGTGGGAGGAAGATGGACTTATGTATACATACACACAGCGACGTGATGTTGGCACATATGAGTGTTTTGTGGGCTCCATTGTATCTAACAATGAGATATACATCAAAGAAGCAGGTGACCACTGTCAGAGGAACATAGATCCAATGCACTATTATACATCAAAGAAGCAGGTGACCACTGCCAGAGGAACATAGACCCAATGCACTACGGCATGAAGCTCACAAGAAAAGGTTTGTATAAAGCAAGAATTTAATGTTCCCTCAGAACTTCCTGAATGTTGGGTATATTGCAGTCCTACCATAGCTTGGAAACTGTCTTAAGCTTTAGGTCCCTGTTTGTGGCAATCAGTTTCATCCTCAAAATTATCTCTATTTTCAGAGAATGCAAATTGTGCATTTGGTATTTCCCATCTATGGACCTTGTGAGGCATGCAGACCAAAGTCACAAAGAGACAAACAGTAGTAATGGGGGAAATAGTATAACTCATAGTGCTTGGAATGATTTGAATAATGATCTATAAAACCACATTGATTTATCTAACATGAAAATGTATCTAGGGACATGTTTTGGAAATCAACCAAATGCTGGAGCACATCCAGAAGCAGGAGCAATTCCCCAGCCACACCCAACTACCACGTGGATGTCCAGCAGGCGTCCACCGGAACCCACGAAGCCATGGAAGCCAATTACAGGTGAAATAACCTTTTACTTTACCTACTGTAAAAAAATATTACAGATAACATACAATTTCGGCCGCTGCTATATCCAGTGGTGAAACAGACCAGTTTAAATGGCTTTTAAATTCACTGGCTGCCGCAGTACTTCCCAAGCTGTGGTATCATCTTGTAGGGATAGAATATATATAAACTTTAAAGAAAAACGCATGATATACAGTGCAAACATTATCACGGGCAACAAATATTTTACAGACCTCATTTCATCATTCAGAACTGTGGTTTTAATGAATAAGGATAATTTTAACATTGACAAGTTAGTTATGCCCTGGAATATCCCAGTAGCCTACACACCATGATGAAATGGGATGTCTTAGTCAGTAACTTGGTTTTTCCGCTCTGACAAAGTGTGCATATGTTGCAATGTTTTGACATCTGCATGGAGCTATTGCATCCACTACTGGTCAGCAGTGAAAAGTAGGATGTCTCAAAAATTGCATTATGAGACATCTGTCAGCATCCAGAGGATGAGATAAGATGTACATTAACAATTGCTTTCATAATGCAGTAGACCCTAATGATTTGTGATTATTTTAAAATGTTAATAAATCAAGGAAACAAAAGCATGAATTTGAATACCTTTAATGAAAGTCTGATTCTTTCCAGCACCCCCAAGGGACGCCAGTGGAGCAGCAGATGGCCACCAGAATTCAGCAAGCATCTTACTTCTATCTATGTTGATTGTCATTCTTGTACATTCCTGCCAACACTGAAGAAAAATGAACCTAAACTGACAGATCACTATTCTGTGATTCATATGTGACTTACAGTGAGGTAGACAGGGCAGGAAACAACACTGCTGGATAATGTGAGGTACCCATAGCCCTAAAACATGCAATGCCACCAACAGTGAATGTGATGTGTTGGTTGGAATGTTGGTATCAGTCAGCATGTTTTTATGGTATCTACAGATAAGACTGACTCACAGCTTCATGTAACACAACTCTTGTCACAGATATGTTCAATTATTAAAGCAGATACTGTGTTAAAGTGAGCTGCTATTTTAGTAAGGACAGCTCTCTCAGATCTTACCTCATTATAATTACATCAGACATATTTTTTCCTGTCACATGCCTGAAGTGATTAGAAGTTGAACACATTTTTTAAACACTGACAAGTATTTTGTATGTATATTTTTCAAGGCCATGTGACAAGCAGTACTCAACATGTATTTGCTACATGTTTATCTTTTTTACATTGATGACATGTGTTTATACTTAGTAACACTTTGGTGATGCTCAATTATGAGATAGGAAATAGAAATAACAGTGCTAGGATCATATTTTCCTAGTGGTATGACATAGAAGTAGCAACAATTTATTTATTCTCAAAATTCAGGAGCATATGAGAAAGGGAAAGTACAGTGGAAATTTAATCTTCAGTATGTGAAAATTTTTATCATATCACATGTTCTTCATGCAGGATGAAATAAATTCTGACATATGCATGTCACTAGTAATTGAGGTTTTCATGGCAGTAAGTATGAAGATGGCCAACTTCTGGGTTCTGGCACTACAACCCAGAAGACATCCATCTTCATATGTGTGCCAGTTTCCTCAGACAACCAGGTTTTGTAGCGGAAAATCCTAGTGAATGCATTGTGTTAAGTTGTAAGTCTGTACTGTACATTAAGTGTATTATGAAGAAGTTTTTGGAATCAGGAGGCATTTTATAGGTAAATGTTTTTGAATGAGATTTTGTGCACCAAACCAAATGAACTGGAATCTTAACAATTTCATTGACATAAATTCTATGACAGTTTATAGATTACTAACCTCCCATCAAGTACTCAGTATGCATTTATTTATCTTTGACTGTGTTCAGAAAAAACATTTAATTTTCTCTGACAAAGTCTATATATAATGTTAAAGCAACTGTTTTAATAGTAATTGAAATCAGTTGATTTTAAAATTAGAATAACATCTTAAGAAACCCTAGCAATTGTCAGTGTTGCTCTTTTGAGCTATAATGGTTGCAATGGAGCCTGGAGATGGTATGTTTCTCAAAATGTTTGTCTTACCTTCATTGCCATTAGAACCCCAAATCTCACAAACCTCAATATATTTAGTACAAGTAAAATTTATTATGTGCATAATATTTGATTTACTGGTTTAAGGCCTGATGTTTTAAATTAAAACTATTGTTTCAATAGCTTGAACATGTGAAAATGGAGATTTTTCAAAGTCAGATTTTATAAATACATGAGAATGAATAAGTAGATTTCCTGTGTGGATCTTTTATTTGTTTCTTATGACATAATCAACTTCAGTTTACAGTACAGTACAGTACCTTGGCTGAAAATAGCACCATAACTTATTTTTGCTATAGTAATTGTCTAAAAGCTATGTTGGTGCTTTGTGGTTCAAAGATGAGTACAGCAGTTTTATAATTTAATTTATAATACATAACCTTACATTAAACATCAAACCAGAATATATTTCCTTTCATATTTTAATCTTTCTTTATTAATACAGTAATAAAATTATCAGTATTTTAATTTAGAATTGCAATATTACTTGCATTATCAACTGTCCAATTTACAAATAAGCACTTTTTATTAGAAAATTAAAGTTGTAATGAAAGTAAATATTGCAAGAATTACTGTGATACTTTTATATCAGCTCAGCTGACTGTTTTAATGTAGTTGAGCTTTCCTTAATAAAAGGGATAAGGAAGTTCATTTGTACAGCATAAGCTATAAAGAGGAATTGTTACAACCTTGCAAAAGAAATCTTATTCCAAACACTACCCATTCTTGAATTGTCATTTCTTAATATAATTGATTGTGTTGGAAACTACCAATCAGTGTGTGCCTCTCAAGTGTCAAAAACTGCATGAGTCACCCTCATCATTCTGAAAGAGAAAAAAGCCAATATAAAAGTTGTGGGAAAATGCCAAAATTCAGGAATAAATAAATATGTAATTTGGAACCATTTTAAATTTGCACATTTTTTTATAATTTCTTGCTGATTTAGGTGCAACAACATGAATTTATTGCCACTGAACATTACAATTTAGCTTCTTTTGTGTCAGGACATTACTTGAAAATTTATTACTCACAGATTATTCAATTCAGTGCTACAAAACCTAAGCAACTGAAAACATGATTTTAAACAAACCAAGAAACGTTATTTTATCCCTTTTATTGGGGGTGGGGGATCAGTCAGGTCCCACTTTCACCTTGGTCTCTATCTCAGCAATGTTACTTGGTCAACAGTTATCACATACTGGAAACAGAAACTTTGTATAATTACATGTACCCCTCTGCAATGAATGTGGGCACTGTGATATGTGAAATAAAAAATTCTGAATTCAGAATCCAAACATATTTCAACAACATTGCCATTTCTAACTTGGGAATATCGTAAAATATTTCTGAAGTTACTTTAGTGGCCATAACGATTATTTTCACTGATCTATTTTTGGAACTATGTATATACCTGCATAATTCATATGTCCATGTATAGTGCTGTTGTGCAAGGTATGTAGTTTCATATATCTCACTCTTAGTTTTGTAAATGGATGAATTTTGAGGTGTGTGATTGCGTGTGTTCTCATTATGAAGAGAAATGTTTATATAATTTTAACACTTACTTAGTTATGTTGAGAAGAAGACAAACTGTATTTCATATTTTGAAATTATTTAAACAAACAGCATAATGACTGAAATAAGATGATTATTCTTTAAAAGGAAATTACTGTAAATTAATTTATGACAATTAATAATTATAAATACAAATACCATACATATTATAGTAAAATATTTTGTAAATGAAAACCAAAGCTAACAAATTCTTGTGTCATATAATATTTATTTTTCTGTTTTAACTCCATTTTATCCCAATTTCCACTATTTTTATCTGAATTCATAATTAAATCTCTGGTGAAACTAGAACAAACAGATGCAGAATTATTGATACAATTTAGATATTCACCATAAAAAATAAATTCACATCATTCACATTCTCAATAACATGAAACATTGGAAATGCAAAAGTGTTGGATCATCTTTTAATTATGTGTAATTACTTTGCTGGATTTATCCATCATCTAAGCATTTTTATTTGAGACAAGGTTCTGGAAGGTGGTTCGTCTGGTGACAAGAAGGAGAACAAAACCCTACTCTATTGGGCTCTCAGTTGAGCCCTCTTAACTTCGGACAGTGACAGTATTAAAGATTAAGGTACATATCTGGTTGAGAGCTCCAAATATCTGCAGGAGACAATGCAAGATTTTCAGCCCAGGTATAAACATTGCTCTAACCCAACACCATCTCCAGAAGATAAAATGTGCATTCCTATTGAAAATTTAAAAAAGTCATGTAAAATTATGCCAAGAAAAAGTTTCCACATGTATAACCTGCCAAGTTCCATTTCAGACAAGGAAGTATTAATTAACTAACTAGGGCAATAAAGTCAAGCTGATTAGAAATACAAGTCGTGTCACACCATGGTCATATGTAGATTGAGGATGATGGAGAGCAGGATGCAAATGAGAATATCCTCATTGCAGGAAGTTTCAGGAAAATGCATACTGAGAAGTTTCATAATTAATAGTGCTTATATAGTAATATGAATACATCGAGGAGGCTGTAATGGGCAGGCCATGTAGCACACAGTTTTGATTGAAATACATAAGTTGCAATTCGAAAGATATAAAAGTGAGGTTTATTGTGGACGCCATAAGCCACATTGAGACAAACTACATGGCGATACAACCCAGAAGACAGCCACCTTCATAAAAACCACCGTGAGAACCACAGATCCTATTTAGTAATGATTTCGTTTAGGATTTTATTTCGGCATTCACGTGAAAAGCATACCTCACTGTATTCTGAAGCTAATGTGTTCGAGATTGTTTTGGCAACACTGAAGGAACATCGTGTGTATGTACTGGATCACATACGTGTATGTTGTGCAATGACGTCCAAGGAGGCATTATTCTTTCTTGGGTTAAGTGCAACGTGTGATGTGTACATGTTTAGTAGTGTTCTATATGGAGGTGAAAATATAAATGTGAGTTATATTTAACGTCTGAAACAACTTTTGGACTGCTGTCTAACTGTAAAATTTGCATACTAGACCGCCACATATTATTTAAATTTTATTTCAGTTTTCTTAACCCCAGAATTTGACAAATTGTCCCTTGTGTGGATTTGTATTTTTAGCATTCATTTGGTCATTTACGTTATGTTAAACTTGGTACATTGCTCTGGTTAATGGTATGTGGAACTTGACCGCATGCCCTGTAAACGCCTTCGTGGCGTGATGTCCGTGCAGGGAGTCAGGGTTTAATTGGTTGCAGAAATTGCATATCGTTATATTTAGTGTTCAGGTGGCAGCAAACCATGAAGTAATGTTGCTTTTTTTTTTTTATAAAACTAACTTCTGCACACAATTTGTAACGAATTCATTGCATTACTGTCATTATTATAACTGTACACAGGTGACCTCTGACATGAATCAAAACTGCTGACTGCTATTTTGTGTCACTTTTTAACTTGAGAGGGGAAATCACAAATTTCTAGCAAAATGTAAGTTTGCTCCTCGGTTTTCTTGTCCCTCAAACTTGGCCTGCAACAGTTTCCAATATTGCTTGTAAGGCATAGGCTAGAAGTTATTTTATACAACATTTAAGTTTGTAAATTTTGTTAAATGAGAACACTAAAATTTGAAATATGAAATTATTTAGGTGTGAAAATCATAGAAGTAGATTTTATTGATAATATAGTTTGAATTCTCATACAAGAGAGACATTCATACAACACATTCATCATGAGTAGAGAGAGAGAGAGAGTTTTATCATTTCAGGTAATGTGTACTGGGTGATGAAGTAAAATTGTGAATTAGGCTGATAACATGCTTAGTGCTGTTTGTCATTATAAAATAATATGTCATTCCTTAAAATGATTTACCCTTCCTCGATATAATTACTACAGATCTGAGCATGTTGTGCAGTTTAGGTTTAAAATTTGATGACATACAGTAATTTTAATATCATCGGAGACATATTTATGCAATATGTGAAGTTCATTGTGCACTGCTTGCAGATAAATGACCAGTTGATTTAGGGTGGTCCATACATGTCCTGATGGGTGGATGCAGTGAGGGCTCTCAACTTTTATTATCATTGCACTGTCTACAGTTTTTGTGCACCATCTTTACCGTTTCTGTAGTCATCTCTTTTATCTTCTTTACTGATACCCTTTGCATGCTGAATACCCATCACATAATTCCCTGATTCACAATATCATTCATATCTTTGGATTTGCTATGACTGTGATTACCACAATGGTTATTCTTTGAGGTTTGTGGATTTCTTAAGCATTAAAGACCAGTAGATTTATGAAATTCCTGTCGTATCAGCAGGGATGTTTCCTGTCTCTGTGTAGAAATGAAGGTTGAGTGATGAATGATCACCCTGATGACAGAGGCAGCATACACATTGGTCATATATTTTCACGCTTATTTCTGCCAAACCGTAAATACCTGGTTGACCATAATCATGTCAAAATGAGGTCACGTATAGATGAAGGTCATATGGAAGTCACGTCAATATCGGCCCAATTGTTTCCCAGATACAGGTATTTAAAATTCTCAAGGTCATATGTTATCACACTTATTTCTGCCAAACCGTAAATACCTGGTTGACCATAATTATGTCAAAATGAGGTCACCTATAGATAAAGGTCATATTAAAGTCGTGACAAAACCGGCCCAATAGTTTCCCAAATACAGGTCTTTACAATTCTCAAGGTCATATGTTATCACACTTATTTCTGCCAAACCGTAAATACCTGGTTGACCATATGCATGTCAAATTGAGGCCACGTATAGGTCAAGGCCATATTGAAGTCACGACAAGATCGACACAATAGTTTGCAAGATACAGGTCTTTGAAATTGATTACCTCCCCTGTGCACACCAGCCACTCACATAGGTCCAAATATTCTCCTCCGCAGCCTTTTCTCAAACACCCTTGTTTCTCCCTTCATGTGAAAGATCAAGTTTCACATCCATACAAACCATTTATTTACAGTTTTGTGTATTTTAATGCTCACATTTTTAGACTGGAAGAGAAAAGATTCTGAACTAAATACTTTCAGGAGTCTTATAAATTTAATTTTAATCTCTTCATGAATGTAATTTTCATTTGTTACTTTTATTACCAAATATTTTAAATTTGCCTTGTTCTGTGAATTATTCCAGAATTAATGCTTTGATCATTTTTTTTTTCAGCTGGTCCCAAAATTGGACCTCTTCAGCATGGTAAGTGGCAAGTAACAAGTTACTTGCCTGTTATATCATTTTTAATAACTTCAAATTGCATTTTAATGTAAAGGCAGTCTTATAAACTGTGAGTAGTGATTGCATGCATATTTGTGTGTCTGTCTCATAAGTTTTGAACCAGATGGACAGTGTTCATGAAACTAGAACAGAATTTATGTCACTAGATCTTCAGAATAATATATTTTTAAAATTCCTCAGTGGTAGTAATGTGGTATCTCTGGAAGTTTTGAGATTGGAGCTGTGTCCATTAAATATCGGGTCCCAAAATTGCATGTATTGATAGATCTTTGAGGAATGTGCACATAATGTTTTTCTAGATTATTTTTTCCAAGAGTGGAAAATTATAGTAGGACAAGCAAAGCACATGAATTTTGGTTTTGTGGGTGATAGATACATGCCAGCAGACTTTGTACAAAACTGTTTTTGCATCTGGAATGATCCTGAATTTGGTTTTTCAAGAGTCTCTCTCTGATCATTGATTTCATTCCATATCTGTAGCGGATCCTTCTTGTTTAATCACAGTGCAAATAAATGTTAAATAGATAATACTTAGTGACAAGTTTAAATGATAATGTTCATATGGACATTTTAAATAATTTAGTTGTAAGCATTAAGATTGCCTAGCATGACACATAAATTTTTGGCACAAGCCCCAATCTTGTCTTGTTTCCTTCATTTGTCTTTTGGGTCCAGTTCAGGGAGAGAGGCCAAGTGTTCCTGAAAATAGCTTTCTTTTGTCTGGGCTCAGCAGTTTGCCTACAGAGCTTTATCTGCTACAGATTGTTTAAACACGTTATCTCTGTGTATGTCATGTTAACTACATGTGTCAAACATTCTGTATACAGAATGTTTGACACATTGTTAACATATGGTGCTGATAATTATATGATGTGTACCAGACAGTACAGTGCAATAGATTGTCTTCTTTTTTGTATTGAAAGATATTTATTTGTTAATATGTATTGTTGTAAAAGTTCTGAATACAAAGGTTTCTCATAAGAATCAGTTTTGGTGATTATACTGTTGCTGTACTTCTTTCTACAGGAAAGGAAAATTGTTTAGTAACTTTGTGTGTTCTAGATTTTATAAAGGAAAGAAGCATTCAGTAATGCAAGTGATTGGAAATTGTAAGCAGATACTTTCTGGATTTTAAATTCTTAGTTAGAAATGCATGAAAGTATGAAAGAATTATAGCAGCATCCACTCTGACAAGGTTATTCTGTTAGTTACACAAGTTAGGAACTTGCCATCTTGCCATATTCTTGCTAATTAAGAATCCAGTAGTTCATTTGCAGTGGAATATTAATTTTCTCTTAACAGATTAATGCTAATTAAGAATCCAGTAGTTCATTTTCAGTTGAATATTAATTTTCTCTTAACAGATTCGAATTAAAGAAATGTATTTAAGAGATTATTTGAAGATGACTGACTGTCTTCTGGGATGTTTCACCTTACAATCTAGTAGAAGTTTGACATTTTAGAGGTTCTTACTGCCTCTATCTGCCCTGATGATGATTGTAGAAAGAACCTCTGAAATGTCAATAAATTCTTCCAAACTACATGGTTTAACATCCCAGAAGACAGCTACCTTTATAATCATCACCATGAGAACCCAAAATCTCACAAAAGATTCTTTATTGATTTTCAGTAAATTCTATCAGAAAAATGTTTGCTCTCTTGTGCATTTTGTTATATATGTTTGAAAGTTTCAGTAAAGTGATAACTTGAATACAGCTTAATGATCCAGTAGTGCACATGTTCTCTTGGTCATAAAATGGAGTGACTACTTTGGGCCTGATTGTCTCTCCTGTTTTCTATTTCTATTTTTCGTACAGTTTTGCCACCGGACCGCATCTTCCATACAGATTTCCTGTTGTCCCAGACATACCCTTTTATCTGTAAGAAACAGATTGGCCAAATGAAAATCCTGTTATGTCCATTTTGTTATAGTTGGGTCACTGGCAAAGGATCGATTATGCCTGGCAAGTCATCAGGTAATCGTGGCCGACAGCACCCGCATCACCAGAGTCGACGGAGAAAATTTCATAAAATGACATCTGGTTCGTCAGGTGACCCCACTGCAGATGCTGAAGTAGCAGAAGCATTTCCCGAGCATGATGGGGAGACCCATCAACTTCTGGACATTTCTTCGCAACCTAAAATGACACGAGCAGCACAAGAAGAAACAGAAAATGTGTGGAGTGTATCTGTTCAGGTGTTCATCCCCTTTCTGGTGGCAGGATTGGGGATGGTTGGTGCTGGCCTTGTGCTTGATGTCGTTCAGGTAACTACACATATTTTTTGGTGTAATCTAAAGCAGAGATATCTGAAGATGCAAACACAAGATTATTAATAACATGTGGAATATCATTTTGAGCAAAAACACAGACAATTTTACTTCTTCAGACAGGCAAATACAAATTATTTTACCCCCATCTCTTAGTGTATTGACTTGGCAACCACCTGTGGCACAACCAGAAGACTGCAGTCGAGAATTATTTGAGTGATGGTCTGATATTTGTAGTAAAGTCATCAGTTTATTTAAAAATCCATTAAGTGTACAGTTTTCAATAAAATGATATTAATGTTTTCCTATAGTTTTATCAAAGATGATTTGTATTTGATAGACTGATATAGTTTTAATAGGATCTGATGACGGATTTGGTGCTTACAGCATTGGCAAGTGTTCCGCGTCGTATCTGAAGTATTCATTTTAGTACCTGCTCTACTGGGTCTCAAGGGCAATCTGGAAATGACACTTGCTTCTCGACTGTCCACGCAAGCCAACTTAGGTTTCATGGACAACCCTAAACAACAATGGAGTCTGATTGCTGGCAACTTGGCACTTATTCAGGTTAGATAGTTAATTAAATTTGCTTCCGAACACTAAACCAAGTCTGGCAGAAACACAAATAATTTGGTATTCTGATGTTTCAAGCCAATTAAGTTTATTTATTTTCTACATACAGGTGATTCAGCGTGTCTTCACAGAGTTGTACTTCTGAAACTGGTTCCCTGGCGTAATGTTTGTTCATACTTTAGTATTTCTTCTGAAGCACCAAGCATTGCATGTCATGACCAAATGATTGTCATACCTGCTCTATATTTAGTAGGTTCCAGGTTCAAATTTTGGTATGGAAACTGGTTATCTTGCAAGATTTCTTCAGTCCCTCCAGGTATATACTAATATGGCCACAACCACTTCCTTCCACATTCTTTATATTTCATTATTCATTCCATCATTTAATGCTTAATAGTCTGAGCTACTGATAGTGTTGTTAAATACGTTACAAATTAAAAAATTAAGTGCCAAGGCAGTAGCTTGAATAATTGAACTGTACGTAGACAGTATAGTGGCCCAGAAAGAAATATGAAGTTATATACCTCTCTTTGCAGTTGAAACAGTATTATGAAATATTTTCTGTATTGGAACTGCAGGGCAGTTGGCTTAGACTCTGACTTCTACCTGTGATGACTCCATTTCAGCCTTGAGTGACTTCATGTCAGATTTGCTGTTGATGTAGTGATACTGCTGCGATGAATGGCTTTAACAAAGAGTAAATGTTATTTGCTTTATTCAAATGGAATGTAAAATTAAAATAATTGTTTTATTTTGAGTGTTATTTTTAGACATTTGAAGGTTGTATGCACATAGTATCTGTTAATAAAAATTTTCATACAAAAATATACATTTTCATGTTTTTGACAGTGCGTGACTTCGCGAAGTGTGAGCACAATTTCACATTGAAAATTGTAAAATTAAATATGATACTACTGGCATAAGTTTTACGTATGATATTGTTTGCAGTGTCAAGCCATTGTAGTAGGTTTCCTCGCATCGTTAGCAGCTGTGATAATGGGCTGGGTTCCTGAAGGGAAATTTGATCCCGCTCATGGTCTTCTTCTCTGTGCCAGCAGTCTTGTTACTGCATCACTGGCGAGCTTCGTGCTTGGTGAGCAATCAAAGTAAATTACTTTATCTTTTACATTTATTTTAAGATAGTGTATGCAGACATATTGGTCATAGAAAATAAAACTATGTGTTTTGATTTAAGTCAGTGAAAGTGAATATCTGTTTTGATGTGGATGCCTTCTGAATGGCACGTGAATTTGATGTGATAAAACTTGTTTTCAGAATTGCCACAGTTTAACTCTTGATGCACATTTAGATTCACCGAGTCGTGATGCTATCAGGCGAGTTAATATAAGTGCCCTAAATAAATATATTTTAGTATATTCTGCAATGGATATTTAATTATTATATTGTATCATGCATACTGGATGTTTAGAAGCTTATCTTATTATAATCGTGATTTGATCAGCCAGAAAACTGATACTGTGTTATTGATGCGTTAACATGCTAAATGAGCATATGGACATGAATGATAGGAGAACACATTGCAACCTTGCATGCAAAATATGTGTGTGTGAACACTAAAGTTATGGCACCAAATTCTCCTTTACTTAATTGTTTTGGTATAATTTTTTGCTGTCTTAAAATTATACTCTTCCAAGATACTTCCACATTGTATTATTTTTTGTATTTATTGTACTTTAAAGAAACATTCTTTGCTCAAGGGATTATGAGAATTAGAACAAAACGTTTGTGCAAGTGTGAATGAAGAAAGAATATGTGGAAGAGGAGCTGGAGCCCTCTTCTTGTGTGTCGTCTGAACATGCGTTAGTATCAAGCCTTCTTTCCTGGAGTTCTGAAACTGTATATATGACACCCTCATTTTAATTAGACTGAAGCCAGTCTACATCATTACAAATTTCATAAGATTTGTTGCAGTTATATTTGTTCTTTTTCTCTATTTTGTGGAAACATGCACATATTTTGGGTGGAAAAGTGCGTGGAGAAGGGATGTTTGAAAGTGTGCTTTCCCTCAAAATGTTGCAATTATTTTTATCCCTTCTCTGCTCTAGGTCTCGTGATGGTTGCTGTGATAGTGTCTTCACGCCACTGCAGTATAAACCCAGATAATGTGGCCACACCGATTGCGGCCAGCTTGGGAGACCTCACCACTTTGGCATTGTTGTCATGGATTGCCTCTTTATTATTTGAAGCTATAAGTATGTGCACTCTTCGATTGTCATAGAAATCTTATCATTAAAAAATTCTGTATAAAACTGGTTTTTAAAATTACGTGTTGCAGAACCTAGTGTTTTTAGGGATCTTAACAATTCCCAAAGATAAATTTTTATAGTTATGGATTTTGTAATTTCTGTATAAAGATTGTAAGCCTGAAAGCTATGCTCATCAAGAGATGTACTCTGTAATGCGGCGAGGCCATTGCTGTTACTATTGATCTAGGGAAGATGGTTTCATTCTTGTGAGCTCAGACCAGTGCTGGATCCATTGCACGTCATTCTTAATGTTACGGCCCTTCAGAGAGCCCTGAGAGCACTGCTAGAGTCAAAGCCAACGTAACCGAGAACATCCCAATAGATAAGATAGCATTGGACATTTACAGAATATGGTTCAACCATTCCTCCTCCTGTACATATTTCCTGCACTTAGCCATTTCCAAGAGGACGCTGATGTGTGGGTACCACCTTAATGTATAACAGGTTTATGACCAAACCACTAGGTCTGTAGACAGTTTATCAGAAGGCCTTCCAAAGAAGAACTTTGATTGCCTCATACCTAATGTGGCAGGTTAGTTTTCAAAGTGCCTATCCTTGAATCACTTCTTAACCTTTTGCCTGCCAACACACGGTGAGATTGAAATATCTGGTTTTGGACTTATCAGTCCATCACTAACCATGGCATACACACCCCTATTACCCTGAATCCAGAAATGACCAGGGGCCCAGAGGAGTTGTAACCTTGTTCCATCTAGACAGGGGACACAATGCCTATCTATTTCCAGACAAGCTTTTATGTTACCCTTGATGTTTCGAGGGCCTGCATAGATGTCTGGCTGTGCATGCGTAAATGTGCTTCGTTAGGACCATAAAAAATGAGCACTGAGGGAGTGGCAGTCTTAACTCAAGGAGTATTACATGTTTATTCACTTGTATTCCATTGTTAAAGGTAGCCTAAGTAGTTAACGTTGTTTGGACTTAAAAAGGTGGCAGCATATCAGGTCCAGTTTTCTCAGTGGTTCATTAGATTTTCATTTTCAACATTAAATTTCACCTTTATTGCTTATATTTCCAGATGAACGTTGGTGGCTTGCTCCAGCCATCATTGTAACCTTTGTTCTGCTGACTCCAGTATGGGGGTGGATTGCTGCCAAGAACAAGTACACAAAGGAGGTCTTAGACTCAGGGTGGACACCTGTTATATCTGCAATGCTGATTAGCAGGTTAATGCAATTTTTTATGACATGTATAAAAAAGGTAGCATCCCACTTTAGCACCAGTGTGTAATTAAGTATCTTTTTAACACTACATTAAATTGTGCCTTTTTATTTACAAAACTTGTGAGATTTGATGGTAGACTGTTGAAAATTTTGATCCCTGCATAATATGCACTCTTCTGAAAACATCAGAGGTTGGCAATTGGTCTATGAAGCTAATTTTTATTCCTTGTGTTAACACTGTGTATAGTAGAATTAATTTGGAAAAGTTCTTGGTTATGTACAATAAAGTTCATTAATGAGAATATGTATTCACAAGGAAGAGCCAAGATCTCTAATCTCTTAAATAGACTTCTACATGAATTTATAGGTGTGACACCATCCATTAATTTAAAAATTTTCTTTTGTAAAGTGAATATATTTTTGCTCTTTGATGAATTACCCCCCAAAATTATTCCATACCTCATTATAGCGTGAAAATAGGCAAAATATACTGGTCTGAGTGTGTCAGTTTTGCTGACATGCAACAGAGATCTAACTGCATAACATGCTCCACTTAACTTGGCTGGAAATTAGTATAATGATATTTAACCATGCCCTGATAATGACAGAATTTGTTTATTTGACAGCATTGGGGGCCTTGTATTAGACTTCACAGTGTCAAACTTCAAGGGCATAGCAGTGTTCCAACCTGTGATCAATGGTGTTGGGGGGAACCTTGTGGCAGTGCAGGCTAGTCGCATCTCCACATCATTGCACCGAGATTCCCGCCTTGGAAAACTGCCTCATTATGCTTCGTCTGTTTGTCTCAATCCTTTTACTGTATTCTGCAGTCAAGGTAAGACATGCTGTCAAAAGACTGATCTATAAGAAAATGTTTGGGTTTTTGCTTTTACTGGTAATTTTTATATTTACTGCTAACAAGACAATGGAAACAAACAAACAAACATACAAATATATGCAGCTATGTTTTTATTTGCCTCTTTCTTTTATTTCTATTATTACACACAGATTTTATGGGTCTGAGACCAGTTGCATTTTAATGGATGATGATATGTGGCCCCAGTATGTTTTGAATTTGGAGGTAGAAGTTTTGATGGGCATGATCATAAAACATTACAATTTATGTTTGATTACTCACTTGAGTCTGTGCTGTAGTGAAGTATTTTACTCAATTCCAGAAGGTACCTCATTGAAATCACAGCTCTAAATGTCCTGAGAGATATTTGTCTTACTACTATGGTTAGTTAAGGGCAGTTGCACAGTATTACTTGATAGTAGAACTTTATCTCATTTCTCCCATCGCTGCACAATTTATGAAGGTTCGTGACCTTATATTGTACATTTAAAAACCTCAGAATTCCAATTACAGCTTGAAGGGTTATGTACCTTTGATGAGACTGCTTGCTTATAGTATATATATCAACCAGTTGTTATGACCATAAATTTTTTAAAGTAATGGAGCAGAGTCCTGCTTCAGAAAGTAATAGTACACTTAAGTAGTTAAGAAATTTTCCATCTTGAATGGAATCAAGATGTTCACAAGAGCCCACTGCCAGTTCCTATCATGATCCATATTAATCCATCCCTATTACCCTAAGATTGTGCTTGCATCTAAGCGTAGGTCTTTCAAGTGGCAAAGAATTTGACATGTATGTTCTTCTGACATTCTAAATTCTAAATTTTGTGTTCATTTTCTGTAGCATCAACATTCTGAATTGACTTTCTAGTTTCAGACGTAGTATATGTTTACAGCAGATTTAAATTTACTTCATTAGAGTTCCTCTGGCAGTGAAAATGACACACCATGTTGTTTTATAGGTAGGTACCAGGTTTCAGAGGCAGGTACTGCCTTCATCTTTAGAGCTGATATTGGTATCTACACATGTCTGCTTAGCATTATAACCCAGAAGACCAAATCACTAGAAATATGGTTCAGTTTTGTGCTTCACTGTTTGTGCAGGAGGCCATGCCAGAACTGCAAGAGTACTTCTGATGATGGTTATACCAGGCCATCTGATCTTTTCATATACGATAAGCTACCTCCAAGCTGGTCACACATCTCTCACTCCTATTTTTGTGGCAGTGTACCTTTTGGCAGCTGTCCTTCAGGCAAGTTAATGAAGAAGATGGCTGTCTTTTGGGATGTTACATTTTATAATGTGGTGGATATATACCAGAGTTTCAGAGGTGCTCATTGCCTCTGTCATCAGAGCATTCACTCTGATTATAGAGGCAGTAAGCACCTTTGAAGTGTTAGTTAGTATGTACCAGACTACATGGCTCAGCATCCCAGAAGACGGTCATCATCATACTCACTGCTGTGAGAACCTAAAATCTTGCCAAATTAAGGCAAGTCAAGAGCAGAATGTAAGTTGTTATAATCATTTAGAACATCTGACAGTAATTTAAATAATTGCATTATATCGCTGGTCATATGTGGGTGTGATTATTAATGAAGTGCTTTATTTCTGACTGTCCATGTACCCCACTGTCTAACTTGTCTGGGAACATTGCTGCAAATCGATTTCTGACATTCGTTTTCAGTACTTATATCACTTTTCCCTGAATGCCTTCAAAAAAAATTTCAGATTCAGGAATGTGAGGAAGTCATAGCTATGCAGGACATATCTGTGAATTTTAGCATATTTTTGTGTTTTGTGGTGCCAAAAATCAGGGCTCTTTCCTTGAAATGTGTCTTAATGCTGATGGGAACAAAAAGAATTACTCTTCAATAGTGTCTGCTAGCAAAGACTGCAAAGTTGCTTGAAGTTGAAAAATAATAAATAACAGTATTAATGTGTCTGCTTGTGTTATGAGCAGGAGTATAATTCCTGAGACTGAATAAAAATGAATTTGAATTTTGAACTAAGAAAATAAATATAAGAGAATTTTTGAACATGAAAATGTTGGAATTTTTATTTTTAGTATTGAAAGGGCTGGAATCTTTAAATTTGGGGGTTGAGAGAGATCTGACTGACTTGTTTCTGTTTCTAGGTTCTGATGCTTCTGTACATCTGTCATATAATGATTCACTGGATGTGGACACAGCATATAGATCCTGACAACTCTGCAATACCTTACCTCACGGCTCTGGGAGATTTACTGGGAACCAGTCTGCTTGCTGTTGCTTTCCAGTTTCTCTACCTTGTAGGAGACCGTGACAGTGATGTAGGGGACTGAATTGCCATGCATTGGGCAATGGTGCGTAATGTGATTTTAAGTGGTAACTGATTTCTATACTTGGTCTACTTTTTGTTCCAAATCATTTGTGCCATTAATAATTTATACATTTTGAACTAGTTTGAAAAATACTGGATTTCTTTTAAAAAATCCATATTTTTGTGATTGATGAAGCCTAATAATAATGTGCAGATTTAAACGTCTGAGATGAGTACAGTAATTCATTTGATGGCTGTGGAATCTAATTTGTGGGAAAAGTATGAAGACAATAATGTACCAGTAAAAATGTAATACAGACAGTTTACATGATGTAGTAATTAAACTCCATTGCCCAGCAGTGCACAGCGTGGTATTTTTATGAATATTCAACTTTGTTTTTGAATGAATTGTATGCAGTGGGTCCTTGATTGCCATTATTAATCATGTCCTTAAGAGTACAACAAATAAGGAGGAGCAATGTACTTGCATGTTGTAATGATGATTTGTTTTAGGGAAGTCAGACTTTAGCACTAAACTGATCTTTTGGCAAATAAACACAAATAAAGGATAGCCTTAGGATTTTTAAAAATGAACTATCTTCCTTAACTTGCCAATCACAAATCCAAATCAGTATTAACTTATTCTCCAGTTTTCAAATATATAATTGTGCTTGACACTTGATTTTGCGACATATTTCTGTTTTTATTTTTCTACAATTGTTCATACTATCATAGGCAATATTTCATTTCCACATCTAATATCAACTATTTGTTTGCATTAATTTTCACATTTGCAATGATGGATCCTGCCCCAATTAAGTCAGTGAGACTTGGTGTTCAATTGGATTGCTATAGGGTTTGTGACAAATATGTTTTAAAGTCTTCTTTAAGATTAAGTTGTTACAAAATCAATGAATAGCCTATTTATTATATATTTTTCTTTCTATTAAGGCTGAATATACATGGTTGGTTCAGTTAGTGATGTCTGTTATGTTACATCCATAGTTGCCTTAACTATTTAATCAAAATGGATTATTAACTGTTATAATAACTGTTGCACTATGTTGAAAGTAATATTTTATGCTTAAGATTAAAATTAACAGTTAATTTAGTGATATAAAGCCAGTTTATTTTGTCTTTCAGTATAATGTAACTCTGGATGCATGTTATTTGAATGTGTGTTTTCTTGAAAATCACTTTGTGATAATAGCTGTTGTGTATATATTCACTTTCCTTTTTGGTCTTCTGTTATGTTGGCTGTTTTCTTGTTACTTTACATTACTTGTTAATTTATCTGTTTTGTTTTGATTTATAGTTTGTTGATACAGGCCATATAAGATCATTGTCATGTCATAGCAAGTACTCAATGCAGCAGTTGCTGATGAAACAATGTTTGTGTCTGTGCAAAAAACATTTGAAACATTTCAGTGCACAGCATTTTTATGTCATGTTTAACAGCTTGAGTGTTGGATGTTTACTTTCAGATTTATTTGGATACAAATGTCAGTTTGTTCTTATTATAATAATTTATTAACAGGAATTGAAACATGTGGTGAATCTCTTTCTCTTACCCCTGTCCTAAGGCTGGCGTTTGGGTTTGAGTGACATATCTTGTTGAAGTCCTTCCAATGCCTCTGCAACCATTTCCATTTATAGTGAGATTTCAGTTTCTCTTTGCAGGGAGTATGAAGATGACTGTCTCTGGGATGTTACGCTGTGTAGTCTCATAGAAGTTGCCCATTTCTGAGGTGATTACTGCCTCCGTCATCAGGTAGATGAGACAGTAAGCGCTTCTGAAACTTCATTCAATTTCTGCAAGTCTGTATGGTACAGCATCCCGGAAGACAGCCTTGTTCTTCACAGTTTACAGTTTGGAATTTTAAGCATGTAACCATGTTGCCTTACTCTTTGTGTATCTTAGGATGTTTTGAATAAATTATGAAGTGTCATAAAGCACAGCAAAGTCAATTCATGTATTTTCTGGTGGCATTATGTTTTTTGGAACATGTTAACATACCAGTGTTGCCACGTTTGCCCCCCCCCCCTATTTTTTTTAACTCGTGTCATGAGTTGCATTCCACTATTCTGATATGGTTCTTTCACTTAAAGCAGTGTGTTAAAAATGTCAAATGTATAAGAAATGTTGTTGCTTTCAATATTTCTTAATAAACTTGTGGTGTCAGTGAATTGTGAATAAAGTGTCTGAAGGAAACATTATTAATGATGATAAATTTATCTGACGGGTTTTCTGGTGAGTATGAAACAGTCCAGAGTAACAGAAATTGTTTATAATTTCGTAGCTATGCAGAATTTTAACTGTGATATACTTATTTTTGTGTTCTGTGGAGCCAAAAATCAGTGCAGTTTATATGAAATGTGCATTTTAATGCTAAAGGCACATACATATATTTTAAGCTATGTTTTCTTTCTGTACCTATTTATTCTTTCAAAAGAGTACATTGAGATTGAGGAACATTTTGTATATTTCAGAATTCTGTACATGCTCTTTATGATTAGCATAATGAAAGTGAGTGTGAGAAGTAAATATTTTTTATCTTACAACTTTTGCATACATGCAGTCTTGTTCTTACCTAATTGTTACATTACTGAAGAGAGTTGCTATTTCCCGTTGTTGCAGTGATATTATTTGGGGTTACATTCTCAGACACACTAGTAAATGGCAAAAGAGTTAGAAACCAGCAGTTTCAACAAGTAATGGAAATAGGTTACTATATATGCTATACAACATGCAAAACTATTTTTAACAGAAATATATCCTGTAAATAATACCACAATTTGTACAATTTTTCCTCTAATCAGCCATGAGAAATAGGTTATAAACCACAAAATTGTTTAAGAAATGCCAAAATCATTTACAAGATGCACACCGAAGCAGACTGTAATGTGAAATGACTCGTCTTCTTGCCCAGGTTTCACTGTCCACTTCAATATTTTCTCATCACTGCAGTCTGAGTAACGTAAGTAATTCAGAAAATGTAGCACTGAAGTGATCACAGGTGGTGTATGATACTTGCTGAAATAATCATACAGCTTCTGTTCAGAGGTGCTCCTAATATCAGTTTCATTTTATGCTGGTCAGTGTGCTGTTCAGAGGTGCTCCTAATATCAGTTCCATTTTATGCTGTTCAGTGTTAAGGAAACTACCTGCATAGTATGGACTTTGTGAAGTGAACTACTTGCATAAAGTAGGGTCTTATGCAATTTGGAAATTGTATGTGGGTGAATTTCTGGGTAGTCCCTACATTTGTTACAGTATTTTTATAAGTGTTGCTGCTTTGCTAAGATGTAACTGTTGGTTTACATCTTAGAATACTATAAATTCTTCTTTTGCAATCAACAGAATGGCAGTCTGCAAAATTTACTGAAAGTGGTGTTTAACTTGAAATGGATAGCTCATGAATTTGTATAAGTTCAGTTCTGTCAGGAATCGCTTATAAATAAGAAACTGTTGTGAGGATATGATTTTTTTTTTATATTTATGAGAAAGTAATGAAGCTGCATTAGCAAAATGGCTGATGTAATATTTTCAATGTTTACAATTATCAGGAGAGAAGTATAATTCCTATAATTATAAATTTGTATTAGTTGGAATGTACAGATACATGTTTGTGTCAGAAAACTTTTGGAACAAGTTCAGTCTGCAAAGTAATCGGTGAGTTTGTTCATACCTTAATTTATATAATTGATTTGTTGACTGAGTGAAAGATGTGCTAAAAGGAAACATATATATCAATTTAACAGGGTAACAAACACATTTTTTATATTAACATTGGTTTGAAAAGTGTCTTATGATTTGTGGAATTATAGGTAGGTAACTAACATTTCAGAGAAACATATGATCTGAAATTTTTCAAAGTTGTGGCACAATATAGACTCATAAGTGGGTAGATATTTACCTGCATTGTCATCCTCACAGTTGTGAGAACCTCAGATTTTATATACTGTCTTCACCTTCAGGACTTTGTTGGAAAGTTTTATGTGTATCTTTCATTGCCCAATATTTATGTCTGAACATGTAACCAGGAGTGCATTTATCTGTTCTGTGTGTCTTTTGTGGAAAATAATATGCATAGAAAACTTTAATGCTGATATTGAAAACGTTATGATATTTTGAATAGAATTATTAATGGGAGCAGAGACAAAATGCTTTTGAGAAGGTCCTGGAAATATCGTTTATATAGTGAATGAGTATAGGATATTAAATAATGCATCTTATGGCCTGCAGTTTTTGATTCACAAAACGTTTACAGAATACCAAAGTACTAAATGAGTAACCAGATGATTATGGAAACTGGGCAGCCATAAAACGTTTTAAAGTAACCGCTGAAAGTAGCAGTGAGCCTCCTGCTCAGTGCTCATCTGTGAATATTTGCGGTAGCGAAAATGGCGGAAGCATTGCAGCGCTGTTACAATCAAACTCGTTGCATGCCATACAGGTGATTAGTGCGTTATATGGAACGAACTTGAACCAATGTGTGCAACGCGTTGGTAGCAAGCGCACTGATAGAATGGTGTTCGGATTTTTAAGAAGAATAAAGTCTTGGATTGTGTGGTCTTGGACGTATTTATGGGCGTTCTGGTTTCTATTGGTGTTGTTTGTGGTTTACTATCTTCGTGGACCCCTTAAAATAATTGAAAATATTGGAATGGGTAATGGTTGCACCTTTCTTTGGCAGAATGAGCAAGTACTTACTCTAGTGACACAATGTCAAATTAATTAAGAGGTCAGAATATTATAATGCTCCTACAAATGTTAATTTGGATCTACTGTCAAGATTTGTTATTCGTATGTCAAACCAATTTTCTGTATTTAATTTTATTAATTTTTTAATTTAATGTGTTTTAACGCATAATTTAATTTCCTTACCAGAACAGTTTTTTGGGTTTGTCAGTTTAAAGAAGATTCTGGCATGTGTTATTTCTGTAATTAACGTTTTGCAGATAAAAACAATGATAAAAGTAGCATCCTTTGTGCCTTATATGTGTACTAAATTTGGTAATTAGATGTTGTCAAAATTATTCCTGTGTTTAAAACTGCATGAACAAGATGGCAAGAGACAAGCTGCAATGTATTAAAATATATCACTGTGATTTTATGATTTCATTCAATAAGTGACAAAGATATTGTGTTCAAGTTAATTTCTTTTTCTTAATTTGGTCAGTTTCTCTGCTTGGACTTATTTTTATTTTGGGTTGCTTGTGTTTGAATGTGAATAGAATCCATTCTAATAATGTCTCATTCAGGATAATCAAGCTGACCGGCATACATCCAAATGATTTTGTCATGACTTGTGCTGTTTGGCAGATTTAGTTGTATAGTAGCTCCTTACGGTGAAGTAATTCCTCTCTGTGGTCATAAAAACAAAATATGTTTAAGTTAGTATGAAGTCTAATAAAATGTCACTGTTTTAAAAGCACAGGTAATAGCTTTAAGAACTTCATATGCCTGTTCTGACTGCAGTATTCTACAAAGAAGATTTTTACACAATGTAGCATTTATTATTCTGAAATACATGTGTTGGTGAAAAGAATTGGGTTACTGGGTTATAAATAACAGTTGCTATGCACATTCATATTTTTAATACTATAGTTTGGAAAAATAAATGTGAAATTTGTGATTTTATTAAGAATGAAGCAATATAACTGCATACTTTCAAGATCAGTCTGTATTGAACATATCATGCATGTGGTGAAAATTAAGATAGGGATTAATATTGTTAGATATTTGTCAGGTTGTGAGGTTTGGAACAAGAACTTCATGCTCCAACCCTGTATAATAGTCGGCGTATTTAAAATCATTTGTGCATTGCGTAACTCAGTCCTTGTATGAGGACAGGCACATGTTAGCCAAGAATTTCAAAGACATATTTACATGTTAATTGAAACTGATGTAGATTTATGGCTTCTGAAGAAAATAATTACATTGAGTTACCTTGTGCTGTGGTATTGCAGGATGTATATTTTAATTTATGAGACATGAAGCTTAACTCTATGAGCATAGCATGCTTTGTAATAGTGATCATTGTTTTCATACACAAATGTGGGATTACTGTTTTAATGTAACAATAAAAATTTTTGTAGGTGAGAACCCATAGGGAGCAAAGGAAGCGTATAGAATTTAAACTTTGTAACGTTTTAAAAGCTGCATATGTTATCAACATAATTTTTAAACCACTAAAAATTCAAAAACATTCTAAAATAATCATTTATAGTACTGAAGTCTCACAAGTTATTTAATTGCAGATTTATAAAACTTTTCAGGAACCTTAGGAAGAATTTTATCTACAAAGTTCTGCATCATGAGGTGTTCCTCTGGTATGCACCATGTGATCATTTTACTGAAGGGGTTTGAATATTTTATGTTGAATCTATCCACGTTACATCTTTGATTTGTTTTGAGTTGAATAAGTAAAATTATTGACTTTGAGACAAGCTTCAATCCTTTGAAAAAATAAATATCTCAGCCTGTTTTTTATTTCTGCTTTTGTAAATCCTGTATTCTTTCCTTTCTTCCTCTTCTCATTTCTTTGTTCCCCATTACCTTTCTTCAACTATTGCTCCTTCTCCTCGTGGACATTTTTTATCTTCTGTATGCCATGTTTTTCTTCTTTCATCATTATTGGCTTGCACACAATCTCATCGCACCCCCACCCCCATATATGTTCCCCATCTATTCATAATTTTTGCCCCTTCTCTTCTAATTCATGTCCTGAGCAATCCAGACTGAAAGCACAATGATTATGACCTTTTAGACCTTCATAATTTATTGAGGTTCTGTATTGGAGCCCTTTCACCTTATTGTGTGAAAAGACCGTACAAAATCCTGGTCTGGTTTTGAAGTTTGGAAATTACATCAGCAAATGTGTTTGGTTGTACTTGCAGGGTAACTAAATGACACTTTTCTTCATAGAATATAATGTGGGTATGAGACCAAGTCAAGAAGATACATTTGTAATATTTTCTGAACTGTCACAGATATGTCTGTGGTATGGCCATGCAATAGCTTATGTGATTTGATGCTGGCTTCTCACTGGAGTGATCCAAGTTCAATCCTGGTATGGCTTCAGATGATACTTGTATTGAATGAAGTGGCACTGAGATTATCTCACAAGTTCCTTCCTCATTATTCTGTCATTGTTTGATACTCGTTATGGTTTCTAATGGTTCTTCTACAACAGACAACATTTCTGCATAGCAAAATTTTCTACTACCACCAAGATCTGCACCAGCGGCGGCTCCAGGCGGGCTCGTGAGCTCTGTGAATGGAAGAAAATTTAATTTAAGATATTCGCATGGCACTAAGGCTACTAGCCTGTTCATATTCAGCTAAAACACATTATTGTGACCCCTGTTTAGGCTGAAATATGTTCATGTTTAAATTGATAAATTACATTTACAATTGAAGATGGGTGCCTTTTGGGTTGTTACCCTCATCACCCTGATAATGGAGGCAGCAAACATCTCTGAAACATTGGTAAACTTCTACCACACTAGACTGTCCAACAACCCAGAACACAGCCATCTTCATACTCGTCACTGTGAGAAACTGAAATCTCACATTTAAAATTATTTCTGTGGTGGGTTGAAACATTAGAAGCACATGATATACATGGCATTGGAACTTGTGTGAGGTCAAGAAATAGTAAGTTGATTGGAACGTCATGAAACACGTTTTCTGGAATTGCTTATGTGCATTCGTGTGTGTATTTATGGATGCCAGTGGCATGGGTTGGGGTAGTGAGGCAAAATCCAAGTTTTGTTGAGGTAACTTTCTGATATATTATTCAAATATTTTATTTAAGTTTGTTTTGCTCACGTTTTAATCTTTGTGTCAGAACTGTGGTTGTGTAACCAAAACTTAATTTATTTAAAAAGAAGAAAATGCTTAGACACTTCTAAAAAGACATTTTTGCAATTAGAGATACATGTTATAACAGAATTTGAACGTGGGTGTGTATGTGGATGCTGAGTGATTTCAAATTTACTTCTAGCATGACCCATTCAAACATCCATCTGAATCTTCCATATAAACTGTGGTTAGTCACTCCATGGAGCAGAGTTTTTGGAAAGCTAATGGTCAATTACCTAGTCATGACATTCCCTGTCCTTTATTGAACCTGAATGTTCATTATTGTGTTTACAAGATCATATAACAGGCCCCTCTCCTGAGCCACAAGAATCCAGTCTATACCCTCCCACACCATTCTTTAAGATCTATTGTAATATTATTTCCCCATCTGTCTTTGTGTCTTCTAAGTGATCTCTTTGTTCCAGGTTTTCTGCAAAAAAATCACAAATTCACTCCCTTTCTTCTGTAGGACCATAACTTTGTCTTTTTCTGCTTTCATGCCTCCTCTCTCTCTCTGTCTCTGGCTGACTGCCTGACTGGTGGGCCCCCCCCCCCCCATATTTCTCTCACTATATATTAAAATGTATCACACTGAATGATCTGTCTCTCGCTATGGTCTTGATAACATTTAGAACATTTTTTCTTCT